CGCTTGGAATCTTGTTAAAATCGACCTTGAACTCGAAATTTGATCATTTTTTCACATTAATCGGGCTGCATTTCTTAAACCATATATAGAGTTAAATGAATGAATTATTGCATCGTGTTCAGCGACCAAAAAAATATACAGTATTTTATTAGGGGGACCGGAAAGTAATGTCGTTTTTTTACATTAAATTCAAACAGATAAATTTTTAACAAATTTTTTATTTTTAATCAATGATGTAATCACCCTCGTTATCAACAATCTTTTGCCATCTAGTGTGCAAATTTTCAATGCCGAATCGATAAAAATCAATTGATTTTTGAGCAAAATATCTGGAGATGGCATTTTGGACGTCATCCAAATTTTCAAATTTTTTGTCACTTAGAAAATGTTGTAGCGATCGGAATAAATGGAAATTCGATGGCGCAATATCGGGCGAGTATGGTGGGTGAGGCAATACCTCCCACCCCAATTCATTAATTTTTTCCAGGGTTCGTCTTGCGCAGTGCGGTCTTGCATTATCGTGTTGCAGAATAACGCCTTTTTTGTTGACAATCGCTGGGCACTTTTCAATTAAAGATTGATTTACTCGATTCAATTGTTCACAATAAAGATCTGCATTCACAGTTTGTCCAGGTTTCAGCAGTTCAAAATGAACGACCCCGCGAATACTCCACCAAACACACAAAAGCGCCTTTTTGGGGTGTAAACCTGGCTTAGCTGTACTTCGTGGCGATTCATTCGGAGAGAGCCACTGCCTTTTGCGTTTTGGATTATCATAGAGGACCCATTTTTTATCTCCAGTGATCAAGCGATCAAAAAACGCTTCTGTATTGTGTCACTGAAGCAATAAGTTGCATATGGTGGACCGGTTAGCTTTGTTTTCTTCGGACAGATTATGCGGGACCCAAACACCTGCTCTGCTTGCTTTACCAATCTGCTGCAAATGTTCTTGGATGGTCGACCAAGGTTGGTTAAGAGCGTTTGACAATTCCTCGATTGTCTGACACGGACTTCCACTTCCGCCCTTAACATGTCATTGTCTAAAGTTGTTGGTCTTCCTGATCGATACGAGTCGAAAAGATCAAAATTACCGGATTTGAACTTAGAAAACCACCTTTGGCATTTACGAACGTCTAATGCACTTGGATAAACATCGCAAATGTTTTTGGTAGCAACTGTTGCGTTACTACCCTTGTGAAACTCAAAAAGCATACAATGTCGGATATGTACCTCTTCTGGTATTTGGCTGGCCATTTCACTATAAATTATTTAAAAAAATTTAAGATTTAATTATTTACGAGTAAACAAGTCATTCTAACCTTAAAATGTCTTTGGCACTACTTTGTGCACAATGAGCTGATAAATGACAAACGAATATCATGCGCAGAAACGACATTACTTTCCGGTCCCCCTAATAAAAATCTGGTTTTTCATTTTTGCATCAAATCAAACATGTATTAAGGAAAATCGAAACTTTGATTTAAAAATCACTATATATAGCAATTTCTAAATCTTAATATTTTTTGATAAAAATTTAAAAGTGTTCTTTTATGGCATAAAATGGAAGCTTTTGACCTAAGTCAATTAAAAAAAATTTTTTTTTTTTTGACAGTCTAATATATTATATATATTTAATAAAATCTATATAAAATAATTTTTTTCTTGTCTCTTCTTCCAAACAACAAACTCAGTTGCGTAATCCAAACAGCACAGAATATTTATGATAAAATATTTATTATTATTCGTTTTTTGTGAAATGTTATATAAATATTGTATATAAAGCTTTATTCGAAATATTATTAAAAGATAGTTTATTAAGTATTTAATGTAATATTTTTGATAAATATAATTAATATTCTGTAAGTATTTTTTATTTGAATTATAATGTCTTATTAAGACTGCGGGTTACAAATGCTTCGAAACATTTTTTGATTTGCCAATTAGTAAAATTCTTTCTTCTGATTGGTCAATCAAACGCTTCGAAACATTTGTAGCAAGTAGACCCTAAGTATTTCCATAGCATTTATTACAAGATTTACAATAAATATTTCATAACATTTATTAATGTTTATAATCTATACAATCTAAAACCGCAAAAATATTTACAACATATTTAAAATAAGCCTTATAAATATTTATAAATATTTGTAAATATTTTATAAATATAGTGTGCTGTCTGGGAAATATTTACTTTTTTTATGATCCAGCAAACACAAATATAATTGCTATGTAACATATATATAAATTAATATATATTATTCACATCTACGATATGTAGCATTATATTCATAGTTTGCTGGGATTTTTTGAGATCATATTTACCAATCTAGATAAACTTTAATCTCGGTTTAATTTATTGTAATTGTTTCTTTTTTACTTCTTACAGAATAAGAAAAAAATAAAAAATGAGTACAATTGAGATTAATATATTAATCTACATTGACAGGAATGAATTACATAAGTCGATTATCTTTCTCAGTAGTCTTGGTATGTATTGTTTAATCATTCTCGATTATCTAATTCTTATTATTACTTAATTCTCAAGAAGTACGCGTTATGATATGCGTTTCTTAATGACACATATACACCTGTCGGTATGTTACAAACTGAGTAAGCTTTAAAATATCGATAAACCGGTTTCCTGTCTCCCTTCTCTTTCATATCCGCGACACTTTAATCGAGTTAAAATATTCCGACAGCTGCGACAGGTTTTCCGACACGTTTCCTTAAACGAGCGCATTCGTTGATTTAATGCTAAATGTTCAAGTTAATTAATCGCATGTAGTTGAAGCCATGATGTAAGAAGACAAAGTATATCGTTCCTGAGGATGCGCAGAAGAATGAATTTGAGATCAAAATTTGATTGGCTGTTCCAATATGCCAGCGCTATTATACACAGGAAAATGTATAGAGGCCAAAATTTGATTGGTTGTTTCCAGTATTGCTATCGTTATTATGCGCAATATGGGAGACCTTGTATTCTTACATCGTGGTTGAAGTTACATTGAAATAATAAGAGAGAGATATATCGATCAATCGCGAGTCGAGTGCTGCACTACGCCATTGAAGTCTCGCGTATCGTGCACGCGATTGGTCAATTCCACTCCGTGCACTTTAAGTTTAAAAGGAGACAGTGGAGTAGGTCAGTTTTCTTCAGCTCTTTATAAAGACTCGTCCCCTTCCTCTTTCTAACGTTATCATGAGCCTCTTTTTTTCTCTTCTTCATCTTATCTTGTTCTTTCTCCGATTTTATGGTACTTTATTCTGGCAAGGACAAAAATTCGTAAAAGAAGAATAAATAAGACAGTATAATATCGGAACATAAGACGTCCCAATTTTGGATATTGTCTGAATACTTTTTCTCTATTTCTCTTCTTGAGCTTAAAAGCCTCAATTCTAATTTGGTCTCAGTTTATTTCCCCTAAATAAATTCCTGGCTACGCTTATGGATCTAACCGGATCTAACCATTAATTTACACAATCTCCCGCACCGATACTCACGAAATTCCTGTTAACTTTAATTATACAAAAAGGAATAAAGGTACATACTTTCGCTCGTTGTGCCAAAACATCTAATTCACAGCTTATTGTTCGCTTTATTCGATTTTTATTCGAAGAACGTAGTACAGCTATTGAAGTAAACACAGGATGAGTCATCGACTATACGCGTCATTATATTAAATATACATCTCTCTATCCTCTATATCAGATAAACAAATTTGATGAGATAACAAAATATGACGCAGTTCAGATATTTTTAATATCTCAAAATGCATCTTGTGTGTTCATAAATATTTAAAAAATGTATCTTAATTATTCACAAATACTTTACTCGATTTTGAAATTTCTTTTTCGGGATATTGAGACAGCGATATAATGATGTAAAGATAAATTCCTATAAACATAAAAAAAGTAGAAGGTAGTTTATTTATTTCCAAAACGCGTTTCTATTATTTCTAAAGATATGCGATACCTATGAAAAAGATTTCCAAATTCAAAATCCTATTCTAAAAATAAAATAAGATCAATAAGGACAATCCTATTTATTATTAACAGAGGAATATTTTACTTTTAAATAGAAAATTCTTAAATTTAGAATAAATAATAATTTTGGATATCGATTTCAAATCAAATTGGTGTCAGCACAAAGTTTACAACATTATTGCAATGTTTGCAATTTGACACCAATTTGGTTTGAAATTGATATCCAAAATTATTATTTATTCTAAATTTAGGAATATACAGGGTGTCCCGAAATTCGCGAATCAAAATACACAGGAAGGAAGTTTTTAAAAAATTGAGTAAAAAGTTATATATAACATTTTTATTTCAAGCAATAGTTTTTTCAGATATAAAGGTTTAAATATAGCTAATTACGAAGATTATACGTTTAGACGGTCACCTATCCAATCGCGCGTACAATAGTATCAGTAAGTGCATACTTCAGCATTTAAATGCAGTCTGTAATTGGCTATATTTAAACACTTATATTTTTCACAAATTATCGCTTAAAATAAAAATTTACAAATAACTTCTTACTTAATTTTTTGAAAAAAAATTGTTTATTGTATTTTTATTTGCAAATTTCGGAACATTCTGTATATTGCTGAAATGATCTGTGCTGTATAGATTGTGTTATAACATCAGATACGGATTTATTACATAAACGTAGAAATATGTATAAACTTAAATTTAACAACAATAAAAGGTAAAAAGAGCTAAGAAAACTTAAACTTACTTAAATTTATATTTGTTACTCTTGTTTTAACGCAATAAATTGATCTTATATTAATTATTAATTCAAAAGAATAATTGATCTGATGTTAATATTGTATTATTAGGTGTTGGAATTAATTCGTAGCGTTTTTTAATGAAAGAATGTTATTTATTTCACATGAGCATTAAAAAATACATTAATGAAAGTAATTCCCATCACTTGTAAAACGCTACGAATTAATTCCAACACCTAATATTATTTCTGTATACTGCATAAGGTTGCGATAAGATTAATACGTCAAAGATATTTTTTATTTCGTTATCAGAAATTTTTTCTGATAACAAAACAAAATATACTCTTAACGTGTTAAGAGGGGACAGCTTATGGTAGACAAAGAATTTGTAGATACAAATAATACTATTCTAATCTATTGGATAATACTATTCTAATCTATTAGACCTTGACGTTTTAATCAAAGTAATACACACAGTAGCACTAATTGATAAGAGAAATATTTCCGTCTAGAATGGAAATGTTTTTTTGGAGAATTAGGTTATAATTTTAGAGATGATACTTATTCTTCTCCTCACGTATACGATAAACGATTTTTTATTACGGAAAATAAACAGAAAATAGACAATATAACACAGAGAATTTTGAAATCAATTTTGATCATTAAATTCGAAATTTTATCGCCTACAAATACAATATATTGCTAGTGTTTTCTCCTTCAAATCGAAGCATGCAATGCTCCGTCTCGGCACACAACGAATACAAACAGGCCCGGCAATTGTAGTGTGGAATCGTGGAGCATTCTGCACCCAAAATTTAGCTTAATGTGAAAATCCACATCAAAGGAATTTAAGAATTGAATTAAAAACTGTGAACTTTTTAAAATGTATACGCGAATGCCGACCGATATTTGTGATGACAGCTGCATAGCAGAGAGTCAACTTTTAGGCACGTGGATTCAACTTTTATACTGTAAGAATTAACACTCGTAATAAATGATTCCTTACCGACTGTTAGACAGATTATCGCAATTCGTAATTGTAAAAAAGGGAACAAATAGCACACAAAATAAATAAAGAGTAAAAAAATAAATAGAGTCGACATTTTGTAACAACTCCTCCTCCTTCCTCCCTCCTTCTTTCGTTAGTTAACAATTCTATATTCACGGGCAAGATAAGTTGCCAGCCCTGTATACAAACTACAATACAAGCACCAGTTGTACAATCTTCGTCGACACGTGCGTGATGATCTATTCTACGAAACGTCCTAAATTAAACTAAAAAACATATTGATTCTCCGTTCTTTAGCATAACACCTCTTTTGTTTATCCACAAGACTGACTTTCCAGATTGACTTTCATTCGAAAGCAAGTGCTATAAAAGAAGAAGAAGACTGCGAATACATGACTACATAATTAGACGGGCCAAATCAGAACTATGGATAAGCGAATCAAGTATCTTATATCCAAAAATATGAACAAAATACTTGCACTAGAAGATACATCTACGCGGAATAACGCGCAGCGTGCTAGTTCATCTCGCAAAGCAGAGTGTAAACAATTATATGATACGTTTGATAATTCTGTAAGTTTTGTCTCTATCTGTCTAAGTATATTCTCATTTTTAATGGATATTTCTGATTATCAATTAGAATTGTAGTACTTATGTTTTTAAATTCTTAAGTAATTCAAAATACTTTCGAAATTCTCAGGCTTGTAACTGGTAACTTGATTAATAGAAGTTCTGGTCAAGTCATTCAAGAAAATCTGTTTGCTTTTTTTTACATCGAAATTAATTAAATTATTCTAATTCTTTCCTTTAGCCTCTTTATAGATTTTCAGCATATATCTCTTAAAAAAAAATATATATATATATATATATATATAATAAACTTATAAATAAATATAATAAATTTCAACTAACATTCGTGTTCTTACACGTGTTTTTTTTTATGCCTTTGACGCAGATTCCCACCGATCTTGTGATAAAAGTCGGAATGCGATCTATTTATGTCAATAAGTTTGTGTTACAAAAGAGTTCTTTATATTTCAGAAATATAGATCGATTTATAACATCCGAAAACGGTCAAGAGTGAGTATTGTGAAAATAAGTAAATGTTATTCTTATTAAGAATATTTTATATTTGATTCGTATGCTTCTCTCTTTATAGCGTTATCAGGTTCGATCAGTTTTCGTATATCATTGTTTACAGCTATTTAAAATATATATATACCGGCGAGATTAATCTTGTATCTTTGGACAAGAAATTTGGTGAATTTCAGTTAAATACGCATAATTATATACGTTGTTGTTTAAAGTTCACGACTAAAATTATTTCATTGCAGATCTCTTAATAATGGCTGAGAAGTTCAGAGAAATTCATTTGATAAAAAGTTGCTATAAGAAAATAAAGGAAGAAATAACTAAAGAAAATATGATCTCTGTTTATAGAATAGCGCAAATATATAATAACAAGGTTATTTGACAGTCTCGAATTTTCCTTTTTTTTTCCTGTTACTTTTTTGGAAGAAAGTATCATGATCTATATTTTATAATAAAATTGATGTATTAATATTTAGTTCGATTGCAATTTGTTTTTATTTTTGTTTTTAATGTAGAATATTTTTTCAAATTCTTTTGTCATTTACGAGTTAGGAGGATGCAAAATTGGAGATTAGTTCCGAAAATATCGTTAAACAATTTTTCTATTCTTAGTTTGTTTTTTAAATTGCTTTAGAATTCATTAACTGCAGAAATGTATCTTTATTCCTTATTTATTTATATCTTCAATACAAATGAACGCCGTATTTTAATAATATTTATGTATATTCTCTATAATTTTCAGGTAGTGCAGGAATATTGTTTTGAATTCTACATAGAAAATACTACAGATGTAATCAACACAGACAGTTTTAAAAAGTTGGATGAATATACGAGAAGCACTTTTATAAATGAAGCAAAAAAAACTTATGGTTATTACAAGCTATGATTCTATTTGTTTTAAGAAAGTAAAATTTTGATAGAAGTAATCACATCAAACTTTAATATTAATATTAATTCATATTTATATTAATATTACTATTATTTAATATTAATATTTCTATATTTTATAATATTAATTTCTACATAAGTAAAACAAAATTATTACGATACTATTTTATAGTAAAAAGTTTTTTTTGACACCGTATACTAATTATTAACAATGTAACTGACAAAAATTTTACTGAAATTGTGAATTCAAATAAAAACTTTCTCATTAAAAAATGATTGATCGTGTACTGCTATAATTAATTTTATCGATATGTATATTGATATCGATACATCCTCACGTATCCCCATGTAAGAGTAGCAAATAAAGAAAGTCCTTTCAGCAATATATGGAATCGAGACATCATAAAGAGACTTACAGCGGATAATTGATCAAAACAGATAGAGCATGTAGGAGAGATAATCCATGTTCTCTCTTTCCTTTTCTTTCTTCCTCGTATTCTTTACGTTCTCGTTGCATGAATACACACACACGTATGACGTTATTCAATATTCTTACATTAATTTAGCCATAAATCAATTTTTCGTGCCCTTCTGCCATTCTAGCTGACACAATGATCTGTGATATCCCCTGGTAGTTCCCAGAGCTCCTTCAGATAGAATACAAATCATGAAATTGCAAATCTATTCTTTTTCCATATCCTAAGATTGAACTTGCACAGTTCATCTCTCTTCTTTTTTTTCACATTAGAGAGAAAAAGATAAAAGATGAACTGTGCAAGAAGTTCAGTTCTGGGATATGTAAAAAGAACAGGCCTATCTTAAGAGCTACCTGGGCAATCTCCTGTAAATTAAAAAACGACGGCGTTTTACTAACACATCGATTTTATTAGTCCTCGGACAGGATTTTACATATAACGAGTCTTGCGAACTATCGCACGTGGAGTAACATCGATTATAATTAATTCTCGTTGGAGTTATACAATATATATAAGTATATAAAAGAAAGAAAAAACGCGATTAATGTCGCGAGGACGCGGTTAGCGATATTATAAAATTAGCCATCAAAACATCATAAAAAAAGAAAGAATAAAACAGTTTAGCAAACAACACGATAAATGTGTACATAATGATCGCGCGGCGAACTTGATATTTCGCGTCTACCGCGTCTATTGTTATTAGTCTCTTTTTCGTGGCACAGTGAAGAAAAGGCCACTTCTGTGCTCCTAATCCTTCCAGATCAATCTGACTCCTTCGTGAGATTCACGAAAAGAGATAAGACTGAAAATAAATAATTCAGCTGTCACACACGTAACTGTTTACTTTCAGAATTATTTATACTTTACGTATTCCGGAAAATTCTCGGTATACTCCTCTACGTTAGAAATATCAGTCGTAACTGATTACAACTGACTACGTGACGTACGGAGGGGGGGGGGGGTAACAATCCTTAATTGTATGTCAATTTCCTTGGGGAGAATTTGCAGTTTGAGAGAAACACTTCATGCCAATCATTCAGGCTTTATAATTGAAAAAGTGTCTGTCTTTCATTACAATAGTTTCTTTTTCAAAATGAAATTAAATGAGAGTTGAAACTTGAGTTTTTCAACAATCAGAGTTAAATTTATAGAAAAATATATATAAATTTATAGAAATATCTCAATTCTTCTTTTACTCGATTCTGAGAAATTACAATGAAAATGTAAGGCATTCATAAGATTTTCTTTAATTTAGTATTCGATTAATAAAATTTTATCCGATATTTTTTCTTGCACTTCTAGATTCTTCTTCCCATAAAGAATTAACATTTAATTAAGGCGCATCCTACATATGTATATATATATATATTTTTACGAAATAATACGCGAGTCACATAATCGTGCAGTTATCATCATCGAGCTAACGTTATAACACGGAGTAAACTTATTTCTACTCGGGTCGGGCAGTACTTTATACATTTATACAATTTCCTATAAACACTTTCGAGTCTCCTTAGTTGCGCAAAAATATACTCTAACGATTAAAACAATTACATTACAGGATATAAAGTTCGCAGATAAATGCAATTCGTCGAATTTCGCTGCGTGAAGTATCTTTAGTATACATTACAGATTGCACTAGTAAAAAAAATAGTATAAAACTTTCAAGATTCGTTTCTAGTCAAAGAAACAATGTTTTCTTTCCATGTGTAGCCAACATAACGTAGTACGAGATATAATTTAATATGCGACATGTATTATGAATTGAACTAACGATGAAGAATAAAATAAAAAATTTATACGACCTATTTCGCTTCATCTCGGAATTACAACTACTTTTGCATCTCAAACTATTACAACTAATTGTCTCGAAATGGTTACGAATGCTCAGTTTCGTATCTGCATAATTTTGCTGACTAAGAACGATGTTCGTAGCATTTTATAAGTCATTCTACAGTTTGCTTTTTTGAAAAAAAAAAAAAAAAACATTATATAACACTCGAAATTCTAGTAGTTTGCCGCTTTCCAATATTTGCCAAGATTTTCTTTATCTTGAAAGTGACATCGGAAATTTATCGCAATACAGAAATAGCAAACTTGCATATAATGTATCTAAACAGCTGATATAACAAAGCGAAATAGATCCATGTATAGATTTCTCTCTTGTTTCTGCACGGGTTTTAAATTCATCTCTAAATTATATCTCACATATCAACTAACATCCCGTACATTGTTATATAAATAATATTGTAAAAAAGGTAAAAAAAGAAAAAAAAAACAGAAGTTAATGCAAGCGTATTACGATACTGACGTTAAAGGCACTTGAGTTTCGGAATTAGTCTAACTAGCATGGTTCTTAAAACATATGATTGCGATAAAATTACGACTTCGTAAACAATTAGCGCGTTTCACACGCGGATGCATCCGAAATGCAGTCTATGTTATATGGCAGTATTAAGTCGTTCTTTACAAATATCTCAACAAAAAATAGAGCATACCGTGTATATATATATATACATATATATATATACACATATTTGTAAGAGATTATAAATATATATTCGAATTTGTTAATTACTCTGACTTAATTAAATATTTTTTGAAGCACATTTGACACGATTTCTTTAACAAATTAGGAAATCTACTTGAATTCGAGTTTTACATACAAATTTTATATTCAATTAAAGATTAATTTTGAAACAAATTGTATTCACAAGAAAATAATCATAGCTATGCTGTTGTGATCTATGTAACTTTTGGTTACTAACTCAAAATATTAAGTATTTTAATAAAGTTTATATATTCGCTTTTCGAATCAATATAAAATGTGCTCTAACGTATCTTGAGATAATTAAAATGAAAATTATACTGTGAAATTCTACATGTTTATTTACATGTTTAAATTTTTAAAGAACATTTGAAATATGAATTTTAATACTTTTTCTCATAAAGATAGATATATAAATACAAGCATGATTTAATATCTGACAAGATTTTTTATTGAGTTTTTTTTTT